TACTTGCAGAACACCAAATTAGAGACAAGGCAATTTTAAACAGTTGGGTGAATGGGGGGCATTACAACTGTCTGCATAAAAAAATACGTTCTAACTACTAAATAGGACTTTTCCACCAGGAGTGCTGGTTCATGGGGCCATTGAACAAAAGCTTGACTACACGATTTTCACGCAAACTAGTAAGTCATATTGTTTACAATTCCTAAATATATATCAATTTTATTGGATACAAAAAACTGAGATCTATAATTACATCTAAATACACAAGAGTACAATAAAGCATGACCCGAACCCAGAAAATCATTTTTAAAATACCCAAGTAAAATGTATAACGATGCCTCTATATACACTCTACCATGTAGCAACTAGTTGAGAAAAAAAAAATCATACAATTAAAGTAAAACACTTTGGACAATGAAGCATATTAATAAATTGATGTAACCAATGTCAAGGATGGAACCACTCAGTCATTATAAATAAAATATCCTGCTGGGGAGGACTTAGGTTAAATCACATTAAAGTGACACTAAACTCAGTTAAAGGAGAACTATGAAGTGAGTGAAAATCATTTATCCTCATAGTTCGAGCCGACGTGTGACAATTAAACTGTCACTACTCGGCTCAATAGATCGGGAAGTGAGCGAACGCATACCATAGCTCGCTCACTTCTCGATCATCTCCCTGCAGAGAGCGGTGACTGTCAGTCATCACTCCCCACACAGATTGCCCCCCTCCCTGCTCCGATCCTCCAGCGCTAACAGAAGGAACAGACGGGGAGGGGGCGGGTACAGCTGGCTTTGCCTCTAGATAGGCAGAGCCAGCTGTCATTCACACAGCTGGGTGGATCTTGACAGTATTGTCGGGATCTGTCCCGGCTGCAGCGGTCTCAGTATACCGCGAGCTGTAGCGCGTGATATACTGAGCTTTGGTTCACGGGAGGATGCTAGTATATGTCCTCCCATGACCCTTAAGAGAACTATGAGGAAAAACACTTACCCCATAGTTCTCTTTTAATTCTTAAAAATACACTCAAGTACCTTAACCATTAACAAAAATATATCTTATTTGTGTATCATTTTGCTGTAAATCCTCAAATCATCTCTGAATTGGTGCTGACACTGTCCTTCCTTCTGGAGGGTGGCTACTTTATTTCACCATGGTCTCAGTGCGTGTTGCAAATTAGCCATCGCTCCAATGATGGAGTACAATCTCAGTGCAAATCAGTAAACTATACATGAGATACATTTTTGTTATAGTTAAGATTCTTAAATGCATTTTTAGGATTTCATTCCTGAGTTTGTCACTTTAAACAAAGAGAGAGAGAATGCCAGTTAATATGCAGACACCGGAATACCGCTCTAACTAAGAGTATTTAACACACACTTTGATATTTGACCTAAACATGGTGAATGAATGAATCTTGTTATCACTAAAAATATGTGTTCTTTGATATAATTTTTATATTATGTATGGGTCAGGGTTTTTCTTTAGTGTCATCCAATGTATTTAGAGGTAATTATTGCTCTGTGTTTTTATATCCAATAAAATGTTATATATATTTATAAATTGTAAGTGGTGTGGCTTAAAAAAATACATAGGTTGCCCTTCTCAAACTCTTCTTTTTAAAAATATGCTCGTTGTCTGGCTCTTCTGCTGGTTCAAAGGCTTCAATACATTTAAAGCAGAAGAACACAGATCAAGAGTTCTGACTTACCATTAAATTTACTAGCTGTACGCTTGTTTCGGGTCATCTACTTATAAAGAATTAAAGCTGGAGATACACAGCTAGCATTTTCTGTAGGAGATGAGGACAGGTTTCCTTTAATTTCAAGTTGTGACTGGAGTGTACCTTTAAGAATTTCATATACTGTTTGATAACATTAATTCCTTGTGCATTGCTCTCACTGCTGTCAGTCTGCGAGTTATAGTGTAGCAGGGACGGGATTGCTGAAAGTTTCATGATTTGGTTTTATCAGACCTGACATGTACAGCAGTATATTAGAAAATAATACTGCAAATCCTCCATATTCATCTTTTACCAGACTTGTATTGACTTTTATTGGCAGTCCCACAGAGAGGGTCCAGATGGTATTGCCTGCAACTGTAACAGGAAAACATCAACCACAATACCTTTCCAGCACTTACTCTGGACTAAAACCCTTATCTGGCTCAAATAAAACAGAACCTGAAAGGTCTGATGTCTGATTTCTGGCGCCACATCCTAATCTCTGAAATAATTGTGTACGGTTGAGTCCAGAAATACGCTATGCTGCACAGTTATAATAATGACAGCTTCTGTTATTCTGCTATTATCTGAAACTGTGTTTAGCATTCAGTTAAAACATAAATTTATTATGATATGAAGCCCTATAAAGTGTAATAAAGAACATTCACTGCACAGAGAGGCAACAGAGTTACAAACCACTACACAGAAAGAAGCAAACTATAAAGAGAAACTCTTCTTTGCAGATAGTCTGGTCACATAGCACAAGTCGAGCACAGTCACAGAAAAAGAACAGCCTTTTTTTTTTACAAGGAGACCACATTGCCTTTATTGGCCAGTTAAATGTGGAAGACTTAAAAAATAGGACCTTTGTGTCATATTCACCTCCTTAGCAAGTCTCGATTTGCTAGTTTTCTTCATATAATCAGCCTGTGCATGAGGAGGCTACCTTGCCTGACTGACATTTTGTTTGATGTCCACAAATCCACAAATGATTATTTATGTGGGACTACTTTTATTGTTACATACACACATCAAATTTACATTTAAATTTAGAGTTCAGATTCTGAATATTTCATGAGATCAGTTTGGTATCAGCCGCTGCGGTCTATACAGGTTAATGGAACCAACTGTACATCTAATAAATTAGATGCAAGATGGTCAGGGGGCTACAAGAACATAGGGGGTACTGTACAACCAGGGCCGGATTTCCCACAAGGCTACCAAGGCCCGGCCTCAGTGCAGCAGGGGTGTAGAATTCTATTCGCCGAGCGGGTTGTTTTTTGTACATTTAGCCCTGCTTCAGGCAAGCAGAGCTAAATGTAGAGCTGGGAAGCTGCAGCTCATTTTGTGCATGTAAACCCGGCGATGCCGAGATCACATGTTTGCAGCATGCTCATCCGTGTTCCCCTGATGCACCCTCTCCATGCTCCGCCACCCTCCTTGCTGCAATTTTTGGGGTCCCCTGCTCTTCTGGGGGACCCGTAACCACAGCACATTCGTTCAGGAAGTATATCAAATATTTATTTAGTTATTCGTTCAGGAAGTAGAGTTGAAGATGTGTGTTCTCCTCTCTGCTCTGTGTGAACACTGAGACGGGAGAGCTGCACTCGTTCTATTTCAGCTGTCGCAGGAGAGCCAGCACAGTGCTTTGCTCAAACTCCTGTATTGGAGGTGACAGGTTCAATAAAGAGAACATGTCACCTCCAAATTCTGCCACACAGGCTTGTTAGCTCATGTGTGATAGCAATCAAACTAGGTGAAAAAAAATAATGAAAAATAATAAAAGAACAATTCAAAATAAATAATAATAATTAAAATAATACAAAAATAAAATAAAAAGTGATAAAAAAGTAAAAAATAATACAATTACAATTGTGATTGAGATGCTGGCATATGCGGGAACATTCGGGTGACAGGGAGTCTATTTTCGTCATACCCTTAAGCACGAGCTGTATGTTCTTGTGGCATCCAAAGCATTCACAGGCACCAGTGAAATTGATCTTAGGTTCTGGGGGGGTTCCACCATAGTGTAGTCAGTTTGTGGCACTGGTAGGTAAGATAGTGCTGAAGCAAGTGGACAGATTATGAGCTCACATTTTAGTCTCAGCCAGAAGTTCCTTCCTGGATTTTGAAATCAAGCAGATCTTCTGTATGGGGTTAAAGATAATACAGACAAGTAGAGCGTGGGAATATGGATGGGTTCAGATTTGTTTTTAGGATATTAGCATCAAAGCTTATGTATTTTACATTTACATGGGGTCACATCCTAGCCATGTCTCCAGCCAGACATTTTCCGTAAAACACTTAAAGCAGAACTCCAGCCAGAAAAACAAAAATACATAAAAATGAATAGCTCATTAAAAGGTAAAATTCCAAAAGCAGCTTTTGCTGCCATATGCACCATCAGTAGAGCAATTTTCCCCACAATACTTTTTTTCTGCCACTAGATGCCTCTGTCTAATGGTCAGCATCATTCAACCCACCCCAGGCTGTAACTGGGCAGTGAAAAAAGAAGCAGTACAGCAGGCTAATGCTCTGCCCCACCCCCGGCTGCCTCTGCTCGCTATCCGCCTCCCTCCTCACCATGGTTTTCAGGGTCCCCCGCTCTTCTAGGGCACCCAGGACCACGGCACTTTCATGCAGGATGGAGAGCGGGGAGCTGTCTAATGGCCAGCATCATTCAACCCGCCTAGGCTGTGACTGGAGAGTGAAAAGAGAAGCAGCACAGCAAGCTCATCCTTCTGTTACTCTCTTCCAATGAAGATACTTTTTGTCAGCACATTGGCTCATTTTTCTGCTTCTTCCCCTCACACTCCAACCCTGCTGTGCAAGGAATGCAAAAGGCCTGATACCAAGTCAATATCAGATACTTACATTGCTTTCATTATAGTGTAAAAATACATTTAATGATGTATTAATGATTACAGAGCAGCATTCCTTTGTGTCTTTTATATCTACCAAGAGATCAGTTTAGCCCGACTCCGCGTAAATTAAACATTTTTTCTTGCAGTGGGGCTGCCCCCACTTTGCAAGTGTTGACTGCTCACTTATGCCTAGGGAACAAGAAAAAAAAAGTTGTTTTCTATATAAGTTATTGAGCTGAGAGATAGAAATGAATAAAAAGACCATTTTAAGAATGTAATTATTTTCTGTAACGCCTGTTTAATTCTCACTTGTTATATATGCTATACCAGAACTATATCCTTATTTTAACAAAATATTTAACATTTTAATGTATTTTTTTTTTTTATCAACAGACCATCTGGCTCAGGCTGTGCCCCCAGAGTGAGGAGAGGATGGGGAGCGAGGGAGCGAGCAATGCTTTGGGTCCTTTGCAAGTTGGTGTGCACCTCATTGTGCTGCTTTGTATATTCAGACACTCAAAGTGCAATGCTGAAGTGAATACTGGCCAGTCCCCGGGGATGCACATTCCGACCAGAGGAGAAGGGAACCAGACAGATCCAGGACCTGGTAGCAAGCATCAACCTTTGGTTTTTAATCACATCTACAATTTTAATGTCCCTCTGGGATTTCCCTGCACATTGGAACCTGAATCTCCAGAAGAAGCAAGCTGGGTATCCCAACAATCAGATAACACAGCAGATGCTGAGAGTCAGATAACCTTTACACACAGTATCCGAGTTCCACAGAGGTTGTGTCAGTGCTACACAGCCCCTCATGCTGTGCAGCATCTCCTTAGCAGAATTGAGGCTCTGGAAAGGGAGGTGATGCTGCTCCGAGAGCGCTGTAATGAGAGGGGATGCCAGGACGTAGAAGCTACAGGTATGAATTCTTGCTTAAGTTCCAATTATTTAATTCTTCACGCGCATATATTTTTATATGCATATTAAAGTTACATTAATACATTTGCGGGTGATTGGAGAAAAAGGATATGAGATGCCCACAGCAACATATTTCAGCTGTCACTTGTATACTTTTAAGTCAGTAAACGCAGCTGTAACATGATGCAAACAACAGTTCCAGCTTTCTGACAGTTATAAATGTGCTTAGCATATTAAGCTGATTCTGGGCTTTGTGGACATCAAGCTTTATCAAATCAGTTCACTCAATGTAACAGTTGAATTGTGAAAATTATACAAAATATATAGTAACTGTGAAAGCCAACCTAGTTATACTAAGCGTTGGGATTTTGATGATGGCAACAAGTGAAAATTAAAATGTGTTTACCCATGTCCCTGAGCTGTAACGTGTGCCTAATCCTTAAAGTGATATTAAAGTCAGAAGGTTTTTAAGTTATTTCAAATGCTGATTAAATCACTTACAATGTATGCTGTTTCTTGATGCTGAATAGTTTTAGTTTCCTGCAGAATCAGCTGGTACCCTGAACACTGGCCCTGATATCCTGTTTAAGGCCTGGTTCACACCTGGGCATTATTCAGCGCTGATCGAAGCGCTGAAAAACACTCAGCAAGGGAAATCCCATCATTTACTATGGGCATGGTTCCCACCTCGGTGTATTTCAGCCTGTGGAAACGCGCTGAAAAACGCCCTACGCTCAAACAAGTACAGGAGCTTCTTTGGGGCGTTTTTCAGCGCGTATCCATTGTTATTCCCGAGTGTGGCTCGGGGTTAAAAAAGCGGTAACCCTCTTCCGTCCCTTGCGAGCGTCCACGTCGCAGGGGGGCGCAACCGGCGGGAAGTTTGAAAGTTTAAAAAAAAAAAACAGAAAAAAAAGAGAAAATAAAGGAAAAATTATTTTTACAAAATCATACAGCCAGGGAGGTATGAAAACGCGAAAAAAACGAGCAGAAAAAACACGGTACGCCTAGGTGTGAACCCAGCCTTAGGGTGGTTCCTTTACCTTGCAGGGTCCTATGTAACCGCCCTTGTGTGTGCTAGTAAGCTGTGTGTGTGACGGACTCCAGTACTCAGGATGAATATGTCCGCCGCTGTATTCTTCCTTGCTCAGGAGATATTGCAACCCGCTGATCTTTAGCTCCCGGTTTCCCCAGTCACTAGCTGGGACCGAGTGTTGGGTGAAACAAACTCTGATTTATTGAGAAACTGTGCAACCTTTTATACACAAAGTTATCAGATAAGATTATAATCCCATCACATCCACCCTGCCCTCCCCAGACATTCTGACTGTACAACCCCACAGGGGTCTGGCTGCTAAAGAGCCCCAGCCAGCCATAGCAGGAGTCTGGCCAGACGCATGAGAATGTCATTGTCCTGAGCTCCTTGGAGTACAAAGGGAGCTAACGAGGGTTGGTGCTGACAGTATTTTAAATAAAGTTAAGAGCATATTTTTAGTTCTGTGCCACAAATATACACATTGACACATATTCAGTTGAATTTTTTTTATCCACTTAAGGCCTATCGTAATTATTTTATGTCATGTTGCTGGAGAATGAAGGTTAGTTATCTCTCACGTGACCAGTGGAAGTTTTACCAAAACTGTTTCTTTTTTTGTGTTAAATGCAAAGGGGTAAGAAATGTAAAAATACCCTTAAGTTGCCCATAAACGCCAGAGAACCTTTGTCTAATGTGATCAAGTCAGACAATCTTTGTATCTGTAAGGGTACCGCCATGATCAAGGCCAACTCTCCCTGGAAAACTAGGCAGCTGGGATGGTTTCCTCCCAGTTGATCACTCATGTTTTCCATGGGATAGTCTGATGCCTGCAGCGTTCCCGCTCCTTCCCACACAGGTACAAACATGCTAGTTTGCACCATGCAAGTTTTTATGTTTGTAAAAAAAGATTTTAAGTTAAAAAGCTAATTCAGCAGTCTGAAAATGAATGCATGTAGACAACTTTACTTGGTAGCCTCATCCATTGGATTGCATCCGCTTAGAATTACCTCTGGTCAACTGCTCCTCTCATCGTCCCTGACAATTAGATTGAGCTATTGGGTTAACGAAGTACTGCAAAACAGCTTAGGGTGGTTTTTAATGGAAGAACCTTTATAATTTTTTGAAATTAGCTACAATAGCAGCTTGTACATATGTTGTACATTGATCATTTGCAATACACATTTTTGTTTCGTCTCGCACTTTGCTGATTTTAAAACAAAAAAATCAGCTATTTGAAAAAAATATAAACTAAAAGTCTTACCTCAGAACAAATACAGCAAAGTGTCTACTATTACCATAATTATCCTGAAAACCCTCCTCTGTGTCTTCCATTTCTCTGATTTAGAGGGTTATTCACAAAGCTAGCCGAAGGATCAGCCGTAGCTCAGGCTGATCCTTCGGCTAGCTTCGGCCGCCTGAGCCCTTCGGTTCAGTAGAACCAAAGGACTGCTGTACGGGCTATTCACTATAGCCCGTACAGCTCCCAAAGTTGGCCGAGGGGCTCAGTCGAGCCGAAGACATATGCTTTGGCTCGTCTGAGCCGAGGTGAAACCCGAAGCGGGCCGAACGAATCTGTCAATGCAACTGACCAGAGCCAGCCGTGAGATCACGGCCGGGTCCGCCAAGTTGTTATTCATTGGCCTGGACCTGCTACAAGACTCTAGCAGGTCCCGGCCAAACTGAACAGTTGGGCGGAGTTAGCTGTCACTGCTAGCTCTGCCCAATTGTTTCTATCTTTTCTTAATGTTTTTTTTTTCTTTATTCAATAATCTTTATTTTTTAATGATCTTTATTGTTTGTTTGTTTTTTTCAATTATCTTTTTTTTTTAATCTTTATTTATTTTTTAGGAGTTATCATTTATTCACCTTTTTAAACATTCGGCTCGAACAGAATAGTCGAGCCGAATGCCGCTTGGCGACATTCGGCTAGTCACTCACTATGAGAATAGGCAGAACAGCAGCGAGTAGCCGGAGGTTCTGCTCAGCCGATCCAAATCTTTTTTCGGCTGAGTCGAACTCCTTCTGCACTTCGGCTCAGCTGACAATGCTGAGCATGTTCGGCCGAACCGAAGCCAGCCGAAGCAAGCTGAATACAGCCCTTGTACGGCTGATTTCAGCCCTTGTACGGCTGGAATCAGCCGTACAAGCCTGAAGTGAATAGCCTAACAGCGTTCAGCTCACTTCGAGTAGGTTATTCACTCGGCTGCCTACGGCAGCTTTGTGAATAACCCTCTTAGTTTAATTGTGTAACTAGGGGCATGACTTTTCTTACTCCTGGAATAATCTCTGACTATTTGTTGAAAGAAATCACTTTGGCCATAAAAAACATTCTTATTGGACAGGATAAAGGCAGGTAGATAGGGCTTAGCCTAGAAGATAGGGAAGTGTGTCCATAGTAACAAAAGGAAATTAGAATCTAAGCATGAAAGAGGGAAGATATGAGGATTTTCAGCTAACAAAGCAGGCATCTTGTATTGTCTGCTCTCATGTAGTATGTTTACTTTGAAAAGTTTGAAGTAGTTGATGAGTTCACTTTAAGTAATGTTATATAGCCACATCATCATCAAAACAACAAAAAGCAAACTATTGTGACCAACCATTGACTTCATCCACAGCTCCAACACAATACGTTCTAAGCTTTAGTCTCAGGTATTAAGCTTATCTATACAAGCAGCCTCACCGCCATTCATTTTGTTTCTTTGTATGATACTAGAAAGGAGAGATACTTGTTCATGTATTACATCTTACATTCTTTCAAGAGTCTACACAGTAACTTTAGCTTGAAGTCAACAGCTCTTACATGAAGCCGAATACTCAGTCCATTCACTAAGTTAATATACTGTGTGCATTAAGACTGGATTCAGAGTATTGTGTAAAGGATCTGGCCTGCAGCAGCGTAAGAAAAATCCATAATCCATTTTCATCCAAGTCCTTCATCCTTAACTATGAACTGTTGTCATTCAGTCATGGATTTTTAAAATCCACTTTTTGTCTCCCAAGAGTTGGATCAATAAACAACAATTAAAAAGCACATTTGCGTTATCATAAACTCTGTTTCTATTCTACTCTTTTGTCCTTGCAAAAAAAAAAAAACTAATAATTTTACTGTATATATCCAAAAAATAGAAATTATATGATTTAATTAGCCATGAATAACATGATTCATCCAGAAACTTGGCATAAGGCACATCACATCATCTGTTGGGGAACTACAGGTTCTAGCTATTCTTGACAGTCAGAATTCTACTAGAGGTACAGCTACATACATTGTGGCCCAAAAACAGAAGCCTAACAACGAATCATGTAAAATCTGGCGGTTGTGTCGGGCAAACATCCAAAAACCATTTTCATCCCAGTCTTAACTCTGAACTGCCCATGGAGAAGTCAGAGGAATTGTGCCAATTTTGTGGGGTACAAAAAAATTATGTTGACTAGGATCAATCACTCAATTTTAACTGGCATCCACTACAGCAGTGCTGAAAATGTGTTTGAAAGTTTGCAAAGTATGCATGTTTGGAAGAAAGTGATGTGTTAGCTGTTACAAAGACAGGGCTTGGTGGCAAGAATGGTGAAGGCAATATATAAATGCTTTCATGTTCTCCTTACACCTGTATTGTGTATATGCTTACCTTCAGGTTACCATTTCATTTGTTTAACATCAGGTCACAACTTCAGAACTGGGCAATACCTACCACTGCTGGATTATACATTTTGCATAAACTCATAGAGGCCAGACACCTAACTTTCACATAGCTATGACATTTCCCTGATCCAGGGGATATTATTCTCATCTCTATGGGAAGCCCCTAGCCCTGCCAACTGCAGTCTGGAGGCAGGTTACAAATCAATCCTTAGGGGTTTTTTTGTGGGGGGGACACATGTTTTTTCCTAAATTGAATGCGATTTGGTATTGCTGACACATTCCTTATTGAATAATTTGAAGTGGGGATTCTATTGATCGTTCCACT